ATCTTCGGGGCCCTCGTGGAGCCTTCAGGCACCCGAAGGCCCATTTCTATGTGTAGAGTTGGGCCTTTGAGCATTCTTGAGACTCCCTTTGGGCATGCTGGGCGCCCCATCGGGCTCTTCTTCGGGCCACTTCCTGGGGCCGTCACTAAGTGTTTGCCCCTCTTTTCTCGCGAAGTCGCCCTTGCGGGCGCCCCCTAATTTGTTTCTTCTCCCATCGCGCGTCGTCGCCCTCTCGAGGCACTCGCACAATTGCGCGCCCTTCCCCTTTTAAGGAGCGTGCCGCCCATTCTTTTTAGGTTTCGGCTGGTCGTCCAGCTCGCACCCGCTCACGTCTTAGTTTGAAGAGTGACTCAGGAGCGAGGGGTGAGAAGGAGGAGAAGGAGAAGGAGGAGAAGGGGGGAGGACTAAGACGAGGAGGAGGAGGAGGAGGAGGAGGAGGAACAGGAGGAGGAGGGGGAGGCACGAGGAGCGACGAGGAGGAGCAGTTGGAACAGGAGGGGAGGAGGAGGACTGACGAAGAGGAGCCGGATGAGGAGGAGGAGGAGGAATGATGTTGAGGGGGGGCGGGGACGAGGGGGCCGAGGAATGGGGCGAAGAAGGAGGGGCGGGAGGAGGAGGAAGATGAGGAATAATATGATACGGGAGGTAGTTCGCGGCCAAGATAACGACTAACGACCGCGACAATGACGCCGACCGCGACGACGACAGAACCCATTCATCAAGACCTTCGCTTGTTCTTGCCCCAAGAGCTCCCATGGAAGCCCTGCGAAACATGTTGGAGCCCACTTGGGGCTACATCAGGTCCAGCTGCGGCTCTCTCGTGGAAGTCCTTCGGCGCCTTGAGGGCTCTCTTGTGGCCACTTGGTCGAAGCTTATCCAAGGGGGCGTGGGGATACGAGCACTGGGAGCGGCGCAAACAGAGGGGGGTGGGAGCCGCATCTCGGCGAGATGCGCCTCCCACTCCCTTCTGTCTGTGCCGTTTGCGGCCCGACATCTCATGGCTGGCTTGCGGGTGCGAGTCCGCGCGCATAGAGATGCGGGCACAGGCAGAGGGGGGGTTGGCGAATCTCCGCGAGATGAGCCTCCCACCCCCCTCTGCCAGTGCCGTTTGCGGGTCGACATCTCATGGCTGGCTTGCGGGCGCGAGTCCGCGCGAGTCCGCGCCCGCAAGCCAGCCATGAGATGTCGACCCGCAAACGGCACTGGCAGAGGGGGGTGGGAGGCTCATCTCGCGGAGATTCGCCAACCCCCCCTCTGCCTGTGCCCGCATCTCTATGCGCGCGGACTCGCACCCGCAAGCCAGCCATGAGATGTCGGGCCGCAAACGGCACAGACAGAAGGGAGTGGGAGGCGCATCTCGCCGAGATGCGGCTCCCACCCCCCTCTGTTTGCGCCGCTCCCAGTGCTCGTATCCCCACGCCCCCTTGGATAAGCTTCGACCAAGTGGCCACAAGAGAGCCCTCAAGGCGCCGAAGGACTTCCACGAGAGAGCCGCAGCTGGACCTGATGTAGCCCCAAGTGGGCTCCAACATGTTTCGCAGGGCTTCCATGGGAGCTCTTGGGGCAAGAACAAGCGAAGGTCTTGATGAATGGGTTCTGTCGTCGTCGCGGTCGGCGTCATTGTCGCGGTCGTTAGTCGTTATCTTGGCCGCGAACTACCTCCCGTATCATATTATTCCTCATCTTCCTCCTCCTCCCGCCCCTCCTTCTTCGCCCCATTCCTCGGCCCCCTCGTCCCCGCCCCCCCTCAACATCATTCCTCCTCCTCCTCCTCATCCGGCTCCTCTTCGTCAGTCCTCCTCCTCCCCTCCTGTTCCAACTGCTCCTCCTCGTCGCTCCTCGTGCCTCCCCCTCCTCCTCCTGTTCCTCCTCCTCCTCCTCCTCCTCCTCCTCCTCGTCTTAGTCCTCCCCCCTTCTCCTCCTTCTCCTTCTCCTCCTTCTCACCCCTCGCTCCTGAGTCACTCTTCAAACTAAGACGTGAGCGGGTGCGAGCTGGACGACCAGCCGAAACCTAAAAAGAATGGGCGGCACGCTCCTTAAAAGGGGAAGGGCGCGCAATTGTGCGAGTGCCTCGAGAGGGCGACGACGCGCGATGGGAGAAGAAACAAATTAGGGGGCGCCCGCAAGGGCGACTTCGCGAGAAAAGAGGGGCAAACACTTAGTGACGGCCCCAGGAAGTGGCCCGAAGAAGAGCCCGATGGGGCGCCCAGCATGCCCAAAGGGAGTCTCAAGAATGCTCAAAGGCCCAACTCTACACATAGAAATGGGCCTTCGGGTGCCTGAAGGCTCCACGAGGGCCCCGAAGATTAGCTCCAAGCGCCCCTAGAGAGCTCAAGGAATTACGAAGGGAATCTCAAGAAAGCCCAAGGGCCCAACTCTATGCATAGAGTTGGGCCTTGGGTGGCCACACGGGCCCAAGAGGGCCCCGAAGAAGAGCCCGAGGAGAGCCGAGAACGCCCCCAAGAAAGCGTTCAGAAGGCCCGAAGGCCCAACACTACCCATAAAGATGGGCCTTCGGGTGCCTGAAGGCTCCACGAGGGCCCCGAAGATTAGCTCCAAGTGGCCCTAACTAAAGGCTCGAGGAATTCCGAAGGGAACCTCAAGAAAGCCCAAGGGCCCAACTCCATGCATAGAGTTGGGCCCTGGGTGGCCACAGGCGCCCAAGAGGGCCCCGAACAAGAGGCCGAGGAGGGCCCAGCAGGCCCCCAAGGGAGCCCAAAGAATGCTCAAGGGCCCAACTCTACCCAAAGAGATGGGCCTTCGGATGCCTGAAGGCTCCACGAGGGCCCCGAAGATTAGCTCCAAGCGCGCCTAGAGAGCGCACAGAAAATAAAGGGAACCTCTGGAAAGCCCGAGGGCCCAACTCTAGGGCCCAACTCTGCGCATTGAGCGGGCCTTCGGGTGGCATCAGGCGCCCAAGAGGGCCCGGAAGAACAGCCCGATGAGGGCCCTGGACGCCCTCAAGGGAGCCTCAAAAAGGCCCGACGGCCCAACTCTACCAATAGAGATGGGCATTCGGGTGCCCAGAGGCTCCACGAAGGCCCTGAAGATTAGCTCCAAGCGAGCCTAGAGAGCTCAAGGAATCCCACCAGCCCTTTGGGCGCGAGTGGTTTAGCGAGCCCGCTCTGTCCTCAACCCCCCTTCTTTCCCTTCGGGGAGGGGTTTACCCTTCCCCCAACCCCCTCCCCCTGGGCCTGGAGAGGGGGTTCCGCGGGTCTCCAGGGGGGTCAATTTTGAATCCTGGGAGGGCTAAGAAACGACGACCCTCACTAGGATTCTGGCCCCGACGGGGGGGCTGAGAAAAAACCTTCTCCTCTTCTGTGAAGCCAAAAACATCGATTTCACCAAGGTTTTGGCCCCATTTTGGTTTTCTCAGGGGGCAGCGCTCATCGTCCTTCATAGCAAAATCATAGATTTTACGAAGGTTTTGGGTTCATGTTGTCCTTCTCCGGGGGCCGCGCTCATTCGCGCTTCTGAGGAGGTCGCAAGAGGCCCCAAGATGGCCCCAAGAGGCCCCCAGGAGGCTACCAAGAGGCCTCCAAGAGGCCCCCAAGAGGCCCCCAAGAGGCCCCAAGAGGCCCCCAAGAGGCCCCCAAGAGGCCCCCAAGAGGCCACAATAGGCCCCAAGAGGCCCCCAAGAGGCCCCCAAGAGGCCCCCAAGAGGCCCCCAAGAGGCCCCAAGAGGCTCCAAGAGGCCCCCAAGAGGCCCCACGAGGAGCCCGAACGACTCACACCAGGACGAGGGGCCCGAACGACTCACACCACGAAGAGCCCGAACGACTCACACCACAAGGAGGGGCCCGAACGACTCACACCAGGACGAGGCGCCCGAACGACTCACACCACGAGGAGCCCGAACGACTCACACCACGACGCGGGCCCCGAACGACTCACACCACGAGGCGCCCGAACGAGTCACACCAGGAGGAGGGGCCCGAACGACTCACACCAGGCCCGAACAATTCACACCACGAGAAGCCCGAACGACTCACACCAGGACGAAGAGCCCGAACGACCCACACCACGAAGAGCCCGAACGACTCGCACCAGGAAGAAGGGCCCGAACGACTCACACCAGGACGAGAAACCCCAAACGACTCAAATCACGAGGAGCGCTTTCTCTCCCTCCTCCTCCGTGTTCGTACGCAACGAATGTTATAGCTGCGCTAGCGGGTGTGATCCCCACCATTTTGACCAGCTGGGAGAAGCAATTGCCTGGTGGCACAAGCGCGGGCGATGGCGATTGCCCTATCCAGGAGGCTGCCGAGGGCCATCTCCCCCCCGTCGGCGTTGATGCCGAGGGCGACTCCCCTGCCTTGGAACCAACTATCGTAGAAGAGACCCAACCAGCCCCGACTTTGAGAAAAGTGGAAGTAGTGCGCCCCGCACAACACCCACATTATATAATCGGGATGAATTTGGCATCGCTTGCCAGTCTTTGGGCAGTCGGGAGGTGGCCAAAGCAGAAATTCCAGGAGTTTGTTATTTGGGCGGCGACCCGATTCCCGCGTGAGATCGGAACATGAAACAATGGCGCGCGGTGCATCAATGAGTTCGGCTTGTCTTTGCGCAGCGCCTTGCATGCCGCAGTGCGCAGCGAAAGCCATCCCATTGTTCCTGCCAAGGGGATGCCTTGACTACTGTCGCGCGTCATCGACGTCGTCAGTTTCAAGAATGGGGTCAGTTTTCTTCCAACGATTTACTTGAACACGTCGGTAAAGGAAGGGTTGCAATGGTGTTTGGTCGGGCATCCCTGCCTCGAGAACATTGAACAGGGCGGCGCCGTTGGCTCGCCCGGCGTCGCCCTATGCGCGCAGAAAAATACGGCAGCAGCGAGTGGGCATTGGTTTCGTTTTCACGGTGGCGAAGTCATGGTGCAGACTGCGCACAAGTGTGAAAGCGCCGCCAAACTCAGCAAATCCGACCGATTGTTCCGCATCGTTTGGACCGTGGGCGACCGGGCCATACAAAGGCCCAAGAGTACCAAGTTTAGCGTGCAGGAAGCCGCCGATGGCATTCCGTGCGACGACCTAGCAGTGGGCATTTGCGCGTTCCACGTGCCCGATGGCGTGGGCGACGCGGTGGATAAGGGCAGCGCCGAAAGCGCGTGCTACGATCGGTTGCTCCGACTGCTTCGCCAGAAATTCGCTTGCGGAACAGGCAGGTTGATATTCCGAGCAGTGGCCAAACGGTTCGAAAGCCGCGCTGTCGCGTTTGAGGCGCGAGCGCAGGAACTTGACTTACAAGCAACCGACATGGACGTCAGTGGAAATACGAGCCTGGCCAAACGATTGTTCACAGACGCGGAACGCACGCGCGCAGAAGCCGCCGCTCTGCGACGAGCGGGGCGGTGCAAATGGCACGACCCTCGGGCGCCGTCGACGTCGTCGACGCGCAAAGTCGTGCGCCGGACTCAGAAGAGGAAGCGTTATTTCCAACAGTTTGGATGCTCGGCGTGGGCGCTTAAAATTCGCATGCCTGAGGTTTTGCAGAACGCGCGCTTGGGTGCGGTTGCCCAGGGCCGGACCCCAACCAGGCTAAAGCGCCGTGCCCAAGCCGATGGCAGCGTTGCGCGCCGTTGGCCGCTCCATGATGAGAATCCACGCGTTGGTTTTCAACGTGGGCAAGTCAGACTTCCGTGCGAAGCTTTTGGCGGCATGCGCCCTTGAAGTGCAATTTTCGTTCAGTGTCGCGGGCGTCACAAGTGCGTCGCGCACGTCCGAGGATATGTTCCGTTGCATTGGAACCTTGGTGAATTTGCGAGGCGTAGTTTTGTTCATGAGGCGTTGGTGCCAGCGTCTCCCGCCGGTGCACGCGGGCGGATCTTCGCGTAGAGATTGGACCAAGCGGAAGACGTTGCGGGCGACGTTCCAAACGTTGCTCGCCCATCATCGTTGGCGCCATTTTCCGCTGTTGGCAGCCCATATCCCAGACATCATCCTCGGCGGCTATTTCGGGCATACAATTGGACGCTCGGTCGCGCAATTTCCCTGGGCCAGACGACGCCGAGGAGTCGGCCGACAAGATGGCCAGATGGGCGGCGGCAGGGGGAAGAAGGCGGGGGGAGGGGGGGAAGGGGAATGACGTGGTTGAGCGCATGTAGCAGTATCAGGCAGCACGGTGTTCACACTATGTTTGCCCCTCCCCTATTTGGTCGGAGTTCTGATCTTGCGACGACGACGACGACGGCGACCGCGACGACGACGGTAACGACGACGACAGGAGTCAACCATCAAGGCCTGTGGATTCTTCGCCTTGGGAGCGCCATGGGAACTTCCCGGGGCCGTTGTGGGGCCCTCTTCGGATCGTTTGGGTAGCCTTGGGGTTCTCTCGGGGCTCTTGGCGGAAATGGCCTCGGGGTTCCCTTTGGCTTATCGGGGCAGTATCGGGGCGGCGCGCGGGGCTTCTTGGAGGCGCGTTGCGAGGCGCTGCCCTTCCGAAAGGAAAAGGAGAGGGTGGCGCGACGAGTTCGCCCAACCACCGCTCAACCACCTCCGCCGAGGGTGGCGCGACTAACTCGCTCAAGTGATGTCTCCTCCGCTTCCTCCTCCTCGTCCTCCTCCTTCGCGCCCCCCTCTTCCTGCTCTTCGCTCGCTGCCCCCTTTTCCCTGCCCCCCTCCTTCTCACCCGTCTTCCGCAAATAATGTTCGCCCCCTTTCTGGGGCATTGCGTGCTCCGACACTTCCCTTGCCAGTGCAAGTCGGCTGGGCATTGTTTCTGGATGGGTTGGTGGGCGCAGGCGAAGCGTCGAGACATTCAAATCGCTTGGTGGCCACCGTAAGTAAGATGCCCCCACGGCCCCGCAAATGCAGCATTGGCGCTCGCAGGTGGCGGGGGCAGCTGCGCGGAGAGAGCAGCGCTTCGCGGGGGTCTTGGCCGCCTTCGACGCGTTCAGGGCTTATGCGCTTCGCGAGCGGCAGGTCCTCATAGAAAGGTCCTTGAAGATTGTGCAGGCTTGCGCCGCATCCGCCGACCCCTTGTAGTATTTGGTCGCTCAGGTATCAGTTCTTTTGTATTTCCCTTCCCCAGGGGCTCACGGGGGGCCCCGGGTGCCTGCGTGGGGGATGAGGCAGAGGAGTGGAAATATAAATAGATGGAGGAAGGTGAGGATGAGAGCGCGGCGTCAAGCGGGCTCAGGTAGGGGTCCAGGGGTTCATTTGGAGGGGGCATCGTCTTCACGCCCCGTCGGTTTTCGGGGGTCCTGTCCGGCGCAAGGAGAACGTCTACAGCCCCAGGGGGAACAGAGGCGACCGCGCACGGTGGAGGATAAGATACGTTGGCTCGGGTACCACGACAAGGAGTGCGCGAGCTTGCCTGGGTGGCTGCCGCTGGCCAAAGGGATGCCCGTGGCTTTGGGGGATCATTTGGATCGGTCGAAGAAACAGCTTTTGCGGGGGCGCGCGGCCGCGATCCATCGACGGGCGCTGCGCGAGGACGAGGTCGTGGGAGATGAAGACGAGGAAGTGGCGTTGCATCTGCCGCGAGTGATTGTGTTGGACTTCCAGACGAAGGAGTGGCACCTGCCCGGGCGGGGGCCGGGGCTGCATCCGATCTTCCCATCGAAAGGGCGGCAATGGTTCTTGGGCGGGTATCGGAAGCATCCAGTCTTGAGTGTGAAACGCACGCAGTTTATGGCAACCCCGGCTTTGGCAGTAACGGCACAATCTGCCTTGGGCCGAACCGTGGCAGCGGTGATAACAGACCTCGAAAGAGGGCGCGGCGTGAGTTGGATGTCCAGTTACGTTGCCATCGCGCGCGTGCGGAGGCGGGGGAACTTGTTGATTTGCAGGCCCTTCGACAGGAAGCCGTGCAACGCGGGGGAGATGCCAGGCGCGCAGAAATTGCTGCAGGTGCTTCGCGGGGGTAAAGTGGACTGGGAGGAGTGGGGGGCGAAGCTGATGCCGCGCGATCCGCGCGGGCGTTGCCGACGACGGCTGCTGGTGGAGGCGTTCACGAAGTGCGAGTTCCAGCGGAAGGAGAGGCCTGCGTTTTGTAAAGAGTGCACCGCCGAGATGAGGAGCCAGGGCGAGAAATGGCGCAAGACGTGCGACGGATGGGCAACGACAGCGCAGGGCGATGGAGGCGTGCGGGAGGGCGGCGATGGGGGCGCGGCAGGCGTTGGCGATGGGGTCGACGCGAGGATAATTCGGACCTTGTACTGTGTCAAGTGCAGCGGTGTCAAAGGACAACAGAAGTCTCGCCGTTGCAACGCGAAATGGGCCGAGAGCGTGGGCAAAGTGCGTCGTTCGAGCGATGACTGTCTGGCACTATTCCCAGAGGAGGCGGAGATGCCCGAAGCCCAGAAGAAGCACAAAGCAGCAGGGGAGAGCTTGTGTCGGACATGCGCGGAAGAACGTGAGAGGGCGACGCGCGAGTCGAATAATAGGAAACGCGTGGGCCACGTGCTTTGTTCGAACGATGACTGTCTGGCGGGGTGCCCAGGGGGGGCGGACACGTCCGATGCTCAAAAGAAGCACAAGCAGCAGGGGGGGGCTATGTCGGAGGTGCGCGGGAGAGCGCGAGAGGACGACGCGCGAGCTTAATAATGAGTAGCGGAAAGCTGAGGCGGACGCTAAGCCGCTGACGCCCGCGGCGTGCGGAGGGGCGTTCTCGGGCGCGAAACATTTGCAGCCGGCGCAAGTGGGACATTATCGAAAGACGAAACAACTCAAAGTGGCGCGCGGGGCTGTGAGAAACTTGGGTTCACGGCGCGCAGTTGCCGAGCGCATCAGTGCAGCGGCGCGTGCGAGAGGAGACTGCCGAAGTCGGCATTTCCCGGGAACCCTGCCCATGTCGCGCGCGACGAAAAGAAGGGCACCCTGAAGTGCAATACATGCAAATGATGCCCAATCGGGCGCGCGTGCTGGGGAGGAGAAGGAGGGCGGGGAGAGAAGGAGGAGGGGGGCGGAGGATGGGGGGGGAGAATCGGAGAGGATCGGGAGAGGAGGAGGGCGGGAATGAAACGAAGGGAGCGGAGAGGGGGGCGAGGAGGAGGTGGAGGAGGAAGAGGAAGAGGATGAGGGGGATACTGAGATGAGGCTCTGGGTTCTGGGGTATATGTTAGAGGCTTCTTGTTTGTGTGTCGGGGTATCGCGGCACGGCTCTCGGGGGCTTCTGGAAGGCACTGTCGAAGCCACCTGGGGGCCGAGGTGGAGGGGGGGGGCGAGGGGGGCACAGAGAGAATATTCAGAGTCCTGGGTTATGGGTTAGAGGCATCTTGTAGGTGTATCGGGACCTCGCGGCACGGCTCTCGGGGGCCTCTGGAATGTAGTTTTGAAACCACTTGGGGGCCGTTTCGGAGCCTCGGGGGGGGGGGGGGGGGGGGGGGGGTTCTTTGGGGCGTCTGGGGAGAGTCTTGGGGGCCTCTGGCGGCCTCTGGGGGCGCACTTGGGGCCGCCTGGGGATCCTTGGGGCGGAAATTTAGTGTTTTTTTTCGTGCTCGTTTGCACGTATATATATATATATATAATACTAAAGTTTGGTCGCCCTCTTGGGCTTCTCTGGGCGCAGTCTTGGGGCCCTCTTGGGCCGTCTTGGGGGCGTTTGGGGCCGTCATGGGGCCATCTGGTGCCGTCTTGGGACCGTCTCGGGGGTCTCTTGCGCCGTCTTGCGGCTGCCTTCGGGGCCTATTGGGCCGCGTTGGAGCGTCGGGAAGCCAGAGAGGCCAAAAGGCAAAACGCACAGAAAAAACACAATGGAAAATCAACAATGTTTGCCTCTTGAGGCCCTCTTGGAAGGCTTGTTTGGGACCTCTTGGGCCGTCTTGGAGGCCTCTTGGCCTATCTCGGGGCCATCTTGGGCGTCTTGGAGCACGTGTGTGGCGTCTCGCGGCCCTCGTGAGCCGTCTTGGAGGCCTCTTCGGGCCTTTTTGCACCGTCTTGACGCCCTCTTGGGTCCGGAGAAGCCTCGTGGTGCGCTCGCGCCGGGCCGGGGCGGGGGGTCAAATCTCCGGATCGGGGCCCCGGTGGGGGTAGGGGGGGGAACTATCTCGCGCGCCTAGAGACCCACAAGGGGTCGGCGGATTTCCTTGTTTAGGGAAATTGATGTCTGTCAGCCCCGCGGGCTGCCGCCAGTGACCCCTGGCGACGACGACGGGGCCCCGCGCGAGGCGCTTGGTAGCGGCGCTTCAGATGCGAGAGAGCGGTGCTATTTTGCACCGCGGAGACCGCAGAAGCCGGTTTTCGACGATGGCCCGCTCGTGCGCCCTAGCGATGCCGTCCTTCGCGAAGCTGCGTCGGAACTTGCCGATCATTGTAGCGTCCTCCCCGCAAAAGTATCAGGCGTGGACCTTGATGCCATTATGCGAGGCGCGGCGGGCGGCGACCTGGCGCGCGACGAGCAGCCGCCAGACGGTTCCGATGAGGAACTTTTGCCAGTTGTTGAAGTCGAGCAAGATCAATATATGACTTCTGACGACGACGCTTGCAACGGTTCCCCTGTTCGGGATGCGGCAATTGCAGGGCCCACCGTTGGCGGCTCTATTGTTGTTGCGCATTCGCGGCGCGATGGTAGCACCCGGACGTTGAGCTGGGTGCTAGGAACTAGGCAACGAGGCGGCCGTCGGCGAATTTTCGTTCAGTCTGGACATTCTCACGAACAGGAGCTGGGCGATTGCATTCTCGGTGAATTAGGCAAGCGGGAAAGTTTCTTGTTGCGCGCGGATTGGTTGTCCCAGATCAAAGTGAAGGATGCATTGCTCGGCAGTGTGAGCCATTTCCTTGGGCGTCGGGACCGGGCGCCCGACGCGCTGAACATGTTGGTTCAAGAGTGTCAGGGCAGGCTCTGGGGAGTCACGCCCGCATCTGTCGCAACAGTTGTCAGGGGCCCGCCCGAGGAGTTATTCCGTGCTTCTAGCATGGGAGATTTTTCAAGACAGTATATTGATTTCCTTGAATTGGGATGCGCAGCTTCCGCGAGTTCCCATTTGGTTTCGAGTTCATGCCTGTGGCGGCGTATTGTTTGAGAAAGCTCGATGAGAACGCAGGTCTTGTTGTCGGTGCGGTCCTTGACGTTTTCCGCCAGACATCCTTGAAGCTTGCCGTTGGCAGCGTTTTGCCCCGCGGCGCTTGGTGCAAGTAACGTCCAGGACTCATGGATTGCACACGTGCGCAGCCGCGACAAGGGATGTCCATTTGAGGAAGGTGTACTCCTACGTGCAATCGACTCCGCTGTCGGAGATCAGAGCGCGACGCATCTGGAACATAGCGTTTGCGAATCAGTTCTCGGTGCATACTTCGGTGTCTACAGAATCCTCAGCGGAAACAGCGGGATCCTTCTTGCGCAGCTTGGGGCAACGCGCATATCGCCATCTCAGCGATGCCAATTTGTCCTCGCGCACGGCACTGAAGGCCGCGGGCTTGCGGGGCCTGGGAGGGGGGGGGCCGTGATGGACGCGGCTTTGTGCCGACACTTCGATTCCAAAGACCCAGCGGCTTGGCACTTCACTAAAACGGGAGCCGTCGCCGTCGCGGCCATTCAGCCCGTCGCGGCGCCGGCCGCGCCAGTAGCAAACGCCGAGTACGCGACGGCTCTCTCCAAGAGCGCCCGTGCAATTTGCACCGCGGAGACGCGGCGATCAATCAGAGGCCCGCGTGCGCGTCGCGAAGCCTGGTAGACGTGGTGCACAAGGGCGGCGTCAAATTCTTTAAACTATTGCCCGCGCCCGAATCGTGCGTCTTGTCCAGAGAGGAGCGGGGCCGGCGCGCGACGCTCGGCGCCTGCGCCAAGGGGCGCCGAGTGGAAGCGGCCGGCAAAGCGGCGCGCGAGGCTGCGGATCTCAACGGTCAGGTGTTCGTCAAGGTCGGTATGTCCAGTTCGTCTTTACCGTCGTTCTTGCGACCCTCAAGGGGTCGGTAGATCTCGTCGCGGGGTCGCGCTTGCCATTGGCAGCCGCCTCGTCCTTTGGCATGGTGGCGGCAGCGGCCTGCCGCGGGCAACCGTTTCACGTTTGCCATTGGCAGCGACGTCTGCGGCCAGATGCGGTCGTTCGCCTGCGCGCGCGTGGGCCCGAGGGTATCACTTCGCATTCTGGTGCACTTGCGGGCGTGGAATGCGACTTGGGGCGGGAGAGAGCGTGGGCCGAACCGCCCCAAGACGGCGCAAGACGCCCCAAAACGGCGCGACAGGGGACGGCCGAAGAGG